CCCCCCCGAGCTGCTCTTGCGGGTGATTAAAGGGCGACGGTAACGAGCGGTGGAGACCCCCCCCCCCCCACTCATTACTTCTCTGGGGGGGGGGTGGTCTTACTGGTTAAACTGGGATTGGGGGGGAGGGCTGTTTCCAGTTGGGCCCAGTTTGGGCGATGCGCCCCATTCCTGCTCCAGGGAGGTTGGTGTGTCCGGTTACTGGTGTCATGGTTCCCAGTATGGCCAGTTCCCAGTCCCCGTGTGCCCAGTATGCCCAGTTCCCTTCCCTAGGGCTCACAGTGTGCCCAGTTGCCTGCCGTAGGGCTCCCGCTATGCCCAGTTCCCAATCCCAGTGTGCCCAGTATGCCTGGTTCCCTTCCCTAGGGTTCACAGTGTGCCCAGTTCCCAGTCCCAGTGTGCCCAGTTCCCTTCCTTAGGGCTCCCAGTGTGCCCAGTTGCCTTCCTTAGGGCTCCCAGTATGCCCAGTTGCCTGCCCTAGGGCTCCTAGTGTGCTCGGTTCCCAGTCCCAGTGTGCCCAGTATGCCTGGCTCCCCTCCCTAGGGCTCCCAGTGCGCTCAGTTCCCAGTTTGCCCAGTTCCCTTCCTCATGGCTCCCAGTATGCCCAGTTGCCTGCCCCCGGGCTCCCAGTATGTCTCGTTCCTAATCCCAGTTTGCCCAGTACGATCAGCTCCCTGTCCCAGGCCTCCCACTATGCCCAGTTCCTAATCCCAGTGTGCCCAGTACACCCAGCTCCTGGACCCAGGGCTCCCAGTGTGCACGGTTTCCCCTGTCCCAGTATACCCAGTATACCCAGTATGAGCCCCCCCACTGCCTCCCAGTTGACCCCACTCTGCCCCAGTACCCCCGCGCCGCCAGGGGTCGCCATCACCGCCGGAGCCGACGCTCTGGCCGTCTCCTCTCGATTCCCCTCCCACCGTAAAGGAAGTGGCCAGTCCAGCCGCTTCATCTCGATGGTTTCCCACCGGAGGGGGCGGGGCCGTGGCGCCCGGCGCTCGTGGTTTCCCCCGTCACGTGACCGAAACCCAGGCGACGTCACGAGGTTTGCGGAAGTGCGCGGGAGAGACCGGGAGACGCGGAAGGATCCGGGGTGAGGGGCCCGGGCAGGCCACCGGGGGATCATAGAGAGCGGC